CTAAAAAGCAGAAACAATATTTATCTTAGATGATCATTTTGATGACAAAGAGAAAACACCTATTACAAAGTGTTCGGTATGTGGTAAGCAAGCACACTGTACAAGTCAGCTCACTTCCTTGTAATTATTAGTATTTACTCTATTTGCAAATGATTTGGCAGAAGTTCCTGGTGGATATATGACTGTATTACTGTATGTTGCATGGCCAGATTAACGTGGAAACCTAACTCTAAGGTGGCAAAAATAATTAGCATAGTATAAATATAGCAAAAGAATAACAACCACACTAGGTAATTTTATCTGTTCTTGAAGAATTTATCAAGAGTTCAACCATCATTCAGGGACTCTATGCATGATTTGAATTCTCATCACTTTCTGAGTTAAATCTACTTAATGAATTTATTATTCTATTTTTCTTAAAATTGTGAGTACGCTTAGTCAGAAGGGTTCTTTTTTGAACTGTGAAGCATAAAAATACCTGAAGATAGAGCTCTTGACTTCACAGTTTATGAACTAATAACAAACTAAGATTTTTATATCACTAGTAAATAAAAACAGTAATAGGGGAAATAAGGTTAGACACAGTTAAACATGATCGAAGACTTCACGGGATGTCTTCCATAATTGAAAAAATTACAAAACAAAAAGTGAATGTTATTGATGAATTAATTATGGATTAGATTCTTAGTGGGAAATAATCACCTAAGGGATACTTTGAGGATCTTGAAGGGCGAGTAGAGTTTATACAGCCATATATGATGTATGATTACATTTTAGGCAGAGAGACAAGTGTGGAGAAAAAAATCCTGGAGTCACAAAACTCCTTGATACTTTCATTGAAACTTACAGGCAAGAACAAGGTTAGCAAGGCTGATTCAGGCTGGATCATAAGAGACCAATCAAGGAAAAGATTAATAGAAATTATATAGTGGTTTAAGGTACATTTTGACTTTTAAAGTGACAACAGGTGTATATACTGATGTGCACAAAAGGAAGAATACACAGATTAAAAGTGTCGAAATTAAAAGTGGGGGGGGATGCATGAATAGCTGATGGGGATTAAGCACCCAGGGTGATGAGCACCCCATGTTGGAGGGAAGTGCTGAATCACGAAATTATGCACCTGAAATTAATATCATACTGTATGTTAATTAACTGGAATTTAAGTAAAAACTTTTTAGAAAGTGTATACATTGAACTGCATAAAAATTTAAAACACCAAAAGTCAACAGAGACTTGGAAAAATATTTAACACATACACTAGACACATTTCAGAATAAACAGCTTTTAGGAATCAATAGAACAATCAATTTTTAAAAAAATGCTCTGAACAACAAATAGCCGATGTTGTTAAAAGAAAAATTCATCAAATGAAACATAAGAATTACAAATAATCACATGAGAAATTTAAACTACAGAATAAATAATGTAAATTAAAACAGTATAATTGTTTTATCTTTGATGCTGTTAAAAATTTAATTTAATGATAATATGATATGTATCAATGAAAGTTCCAAGAAAAGGCAATCGGGGCACCTGGGTGGCTCAGTTGGTTGAGCACCAACTCTTGACTTTGGCTCAGGTCATGATCCCAGGGTTATGGGATCAAGCCCTGCATTGGGCTCCACACGGAACAAGGAGATGGCTTGAGGTTCTTTCTTCTTTCTTTCTTTCTTTCTTCTTTCTTTCTTTCTTTCTTTCTTCTTTCTTTCCTTCCTTCCTTCCTTCCTTCCTTCCTTCCTTCCTTCCTTCCTTCCTTCTCTCTCTCTCCCCTCTCCCCCTCTCTCATTGTTTCTTTCTCTCTCTAAAATAAAAAATAATGGGGCATGCCTAAGTGGCTCAGTGGGTTAAGGGTCCAACTCTTGATTTTAGCTCAGGTCATAATCATACAGTTGTGAGATTGAGCCCCACGTCTGGGCTCTGTGCTGACAGCCTGGAGCCTGCTTGGGATTCCTTCTCTCCCTTTCTCTCTGCTCCCCAATTCACTCTGTCTCTTTCTCTCTCGCTCGCTCGTGCATGTGATTTTGCTTCCACTCTCACTTTTTCTCTCAAAATAAATAAATACACATAAAAAAAAAGACAAGGTAATGTCACAATGTCACACATATTTGGTAATTAAGATAAATTTCTTCTTTACCAAAAAAAAAAAAAAAAAAAGAAATGTTTAATATGTATTGTTTCCTTATATCCCCATAGTCTAAACAGTACTAAATGCAGGAATTTGTTTTTAGCAAATTACTACAATTGTGTCCAAGGATTTTGTCCTTAGACATGTTCGTTATACTGTTATTAATGAAAACTTTGAATTATTGAAAATTCATTTGAGGCAGGGCCATCAGATACAGCAGGCACTTGATTACAGAGAGCAGCAATTCATGTCACCAATGATACAAATAGATAGTTCTAGAATTTTTCAAAGTGGTGGGTCTTATTCGAGATACTATTTATATGAATTATTATATATATACCCACACATACAAAAGAGAACTACGTTTATACATTAAAATTGATGCTGATGAAAATGCTCTTAATATGAAACTATATTAACATATCAAATGACAAAAACAGCTTACAAAACAATATATACATTCTTCAAAAAAAAAATAAAGACAAATATATATAAATAAAGCACACATATACTTCCAGTACAAAAGTCTACAAGTAGATACAGATTACTTTTTTAAAGTCATACGGATGATAGATTTGTTGTTATTTTATGTTCTTCTCCATTTTCCAAATGCACGTTGTATTCATGTATGATTATTAAATTATGGAAACTAGGTAACGGACAGAATAAAATAATCAACATATTGAACATTTGTTGTCCATATTTTCACTAGAGATAATATATATTGAATTAGGAGAATACCAATAAAAGTAAGGGCATGAGTGGGAGAGAATTTTATAAAACATTCTTTTTAGAACTTACAGGAGAATCTAGATTGGGAAATCTGCAGATACATAATTCTTACAATAGAAGATTTTGAGGTCTTTCCTAAAACTTTTAGGAGATTCATTAGACTCTAAAGTTCTATAGGAAGATGTCCATTTCTAAAGGGTTTTTAAAATTTTTGTACACTAATATGCTGCCAGTTAGCTTGGGTGAATATGCCAGGCGTATTCACGTTTTTAGAAGCAATGAGAGTAGAATTTGTCCATTCTGTGTTGCCTGGAAGGTTACTATTCCAAGTTCACTGCCTCAGTTTACGGACAACAGGGGCTCTTGTTCAATCCAAGCACAGTGCAAATTCTAATACCTTTGATGTAGTGATGTCACTGAGCTGGAGACACTCGCCGAGTAAGATTTCCTCAAGGGGATCTCAATTAGTCTTCTCAGAAAGCCCTAATAAAAGTCAAAGAGAAATTCTCTAATTGTAAATTTAAATCCTCCTGACAGGCCCTTCACATAGGAGAAGCTTGTTTCTCATGTTTGAGGATCATCACCATCTCTCCCGCCCTTCAAGTTCCTGCTTTAAAATGTACAATTGTCTCTTGGAGTTATTTATATTTGGATGGACATTCTTGCAAAGTGATTACCTAAGGACCTTATTTCTCTCCAGTCCTTACCCTCAGAAACACACACATATAGTACATATCCCAGACAGCTTGAATTTTCTTAATTATACCTTTCATGTTTCGGGGGGGGGGGATATTGCAGAGCAAATGCCCCTTTTTCAAATGTTTAAAAATATTGCAGTGAGGCCCCGTCTTTGATATTTCTCTTATGCAAATACAATGAGGTGTTTTTGTTTCTTTGTTTCTTTGTTTGTTTGTTTCCAGCTTGAGCTGGAGCCCAAATTCATTTTGCCACAGAGGAAGTTACCTTGATACAACAGTAGTGTCCAAGTAAAGTATCCCGCAAGGCTTCCTAGAGATATAGGACAGAAACATTCAACAGAATGAATTACGTTTCCATTGTATGGTTTACTAAATACATTTGAAACACATGCCATAAGAATCTAAAAGACAGAGAGAGAGAGAGAGAGAGAGAGAGAGAGAGAGATGCAGTAAGTTAGTACACACATGGCAGAAGGATTGTACAAATCCTGGGGTATTTACTGTTCCGATGTCTTCTCTCTCATAGTGCTGAGGGTACTTGGGGTCAATGACACCAATGACACGTTCTGAGGGTTGCAAGGGTAAGTCTGCCTGATCGTATCTGTAGCTCACCAGTTAGCTGGCTCAGCAGCACTGGATTTTATGTGCTTCTTGGGGAGAGGACACGTGGCACCAGAAAGGTTGTCACCAGTGGGAAGCTTAATTAAGACTTCCCTGATTATTGCGTGTCTCATATGCCTTATGTATATTTAGTCTATCATAAATATTCAATGCCTAAGATACCTCGTGTATATTTAATGCCTGATGAACATTCACTGGCTTTTACATTTAGAGCCTCGTGTGTATCATCTTTAGTGTCTGGCGTATATCAGGACTCATTTTGTCTTCTCATCACTTTCTATGTTCATGCAAATGTACTACTCAACAGCCAGCCCCTCTTAGGAGTTTTATCAGACCCATCATCTGTTTCCTTTATCCTCAGGAGGAGTTTTGAATGTTCTCAATCAATACAACATTGCACGTGACAGATTAAAAATATTTGTAGCACGAAGCCAAAATATAAGACAAAGCATCTTCTTTTTCCTAAAAGTACCCTTAGAATATAAGAGAGTGATCTTATATTGTAGTTTTATAGCACAATTTTCTTAATTGCTTTCTTTTACTTTTTTAAAAAAATAATGTTTACTTTTGTTTTTGAGAGAGAGAGAGGGAGAGAGGGAGGGAAGGAGGGGCAGAGAGAGAGGGAGACAGAATTCGAAGCAGGCTCCAGGCTCTGAGCTGTCAGCACACAGCCTGATGTGGGGCTTGAACCCACAAAAGGTGAGATCACGACCTGAGCCAAAGTCGGATGCTTAACTGACTGAGCCACACAGGTGGCCTTATTGCCTGCTTTCTTTTGGACAACAGCATGTCATTTGCCAGGGGTGGGGGGGGGTGGGTGGTGAAGGCCAGAAAATATATGAAGTGTCATTAGTGTGTGGTAGGTTTACATGGTTCATCTGAAGAATTCATACATCTATATGTACCTGCACACACATACCTATATACATATGGAGGCAGAATTTTCACGGCTGCTTTCATATTTAGTAACAATTCTTGTGTGAGTGACTTTAACTTCATCACACTTTTTTTTTTTTACAAACTTTACAAAGAAATACGGTAAAGGCTTACATCATGCAGATCACATAGATACAACTGCAGGGTGAATGGCAGAAAAATGTCCAAATGCCCTACAAAGGATGATGTGTATGCTTGGGCATATGTTCTCAATAACAATGTCATACACAGTTTTACAAGGGCCATCTCGCAAAAACAAACAGACAAAAAACAAATAAATAAGTAAATAAATAAATGAATAAAATTTTAAAAGAGAGTGTGTGCTTAGAGCTACAGAAGTAATGAAGTCACACAGTGATCTTGGCACTGATGAAGATATTGATGTTCAGGATTCACATCAAGAAGTTGAAAAAATTGTTCCATGATCTGAAACAATAGAAAGAGGATTTAAATTATGTCAAATAATAGGTTACTTTATATATGTTACTAAAACATAGAGTAAATATTAGAAGTGCACATGCAATGATCTCATCTGTCTCCTTAAATATTTACATATTCAAGTTGATCAAAAATATTTGTGTATCCCAATAATGCAAATATGGAGGGCTTTGTATGCAGACTCACCTTAAAATCTAATATCAGAGCTATTCTCAGTGTGATATATAATTATAGAACTCAAGAATAATATGAAAAACTGTGAAACATATTTCAAAAAGTGTCACCGCCCATTAGCAACTGTCAATAGTTTGTGGTATTCTCTAGACATTTCTTTAAACATACTTACATTTAGGGGCGCCTAGGTGGCTCAGTCAGTTAAGCATCCAACTTCGGCTCAGGTCATGATCTAACACCTTGAGTTTGAGCTCCAGCGTCGGGATCTGTGCTGACAGCTCAAAGCCTGGAGCCTGCTTCGGATTCTGCGTCTCCTCTCTGCCCCTCCTCTGTTCGTGCTCTGTCTCTCTTCTCCCTCTCTCTCAAAAAAAAAAAAAAATTAATAAGTAAATAAACAATAAATTTTAAAAAATGAAAAAACACACACTTACATTTATAGAATTAGTATCAAATGTATATATACATCTATACTTATATCTGTACGTATATGTACTTATGTAGTAACTTTTTACCATGTAACACAACTAGCAATCAAGTTCATTTTGTGCCAAGACAAGGCCTGTCCCCACCATGAAAATCCTGAAAAAGTGCTTCGAATTCTGCATTAGTATCGCAAAAGAAATTGCAAAACTCCACTTCACACTTTATTTGAGCTCCTTAAAGCAGTGCTGCCTTCCTAGGTTTATTGCTGACAATATGATTTGATTAATGATTTTTCTAGACAACTATCACAGGTACTCTGGTATTGTAGGCAAATGAAACATATTAAAATTTTGCTGAAAGTGGGAAACTAAGTGGCAATATTTTTATTTTGAAAATATTATGTTAAATGTCTTCAGGAGATTCCAGTAAAAAAAAAAAAAAAGCTACGGATAATACATGTTCTGTTTCTAATCAGTTTAGATATATTTTAAAAAGTGGCAGAATATAGCCTGCAACCTCAAGTAGTTATAATACTCTTCTGAAAATTAAAAAAAAAAAATTTACTGGGGCGCCTGGGTGGCTCAGTCAGTTAAGCTTCCGACTTCGGCTCAGGTCATGATCTCACAGTCTGTGAGTTTGAGCCCCGTGTCGGGCTCTGTGCTGACAGCTCGGAGCCTGGAGCCTGCTTTGGATTCTGTGCCTCCTTCTCTCTCTGCCCCTTCCCTTCTCATGCTCTGTCTCTCTGTCTCAAAAATAAATAAAAACATTAAAAAATATATCTTTACCAATTAATTTTAATGTGCGCAAACTGCTTACCAAGTAATAATAATCTCTCTCTGAACACCCTTTTTTATTAGTAATTAGATCAATCTTCAAATACCATTGTTCCCTTTCCAAACTGTGAGCCTCAAGCTATACATTCACGTTTGTCTCCAAAGTGTGTAAAAGGTACCTAAAATTCCAGTTTCTTCCACACAGATAGCAGTATGTACCAGTATATTTGGGGAAATATAGATACAACAAGCATCAGTCATTCAAGAATAAATACTATTATTTTCAAACTGACAGTGCATATGATTTGGGTATAAAATAGAAAGCATATATTAAAAATCAATATCCTTCATTTTCCATTCAGGAGTCCAGGATCATCAGTGTATTCCAGGTCAAAGATTACTCTCTCTGGCTTCTGGCTATGAAACAATTCTGAAAATTATTAAACCCCATACATTCTGGCTGAAGTGCCAATGTCCACTCCAAAAAGGCCCAGAGATAAAAAAAAAAAAAAGGATAAAATTAGTCCTCAGATGGATGTGGCAGAGAAGGCAGAGGAATCTGTTTAAAATACCTCACTGCCATGTGACTATGCCCATATGCTGGGCACTGACACTGTTTATCAAGGATAGTCCTCAAAGATGTTCAGAAGAACCCACTTTGTGGATACTAAATCAGCCTCTCAAGTCTGCAGGATGGAGTTCAAAATTGCTCACGGACTCTGTCAAAGGTCTGCAATGGAGAATGGCATTTTCTTGTAAATATGGAACGCATAAATCATCTGTGATACTTTGTAAGGAGCTCCTCTAACAACGGTTACGGTAATTCCTAAGTGATTTTTCCAGTGACAAGTCCAGGACCCAGGAAGCAGGTTGAAACACGCAGTTTGTCTCAGGAAGTCAAGCGTGAGGCTTGCTAATTCAGTTTGATCACAGAAATGACAGCAAACATTGACTTCCAAATACAAGGACACATGTTCATCAGTCCAACTCCCTCTAATGCCGTCCCCCACCCCTATCAAGGTGTAGAATATTCCTTTGTGAATAGAAAGTAAGAAGTGTGAAAATTCACACCAATTGATGATGTGAAATAATGAGTAACCCCTCCTTAACCTCTATCTCTCGCTGAAAACAAATGTTCAAACCAGTAATTTGTGGACCAGCAGTAAGTGGGCACGTATGGTGAACTGAACTTACGATCAATTCAGTTCCCAAATTACATGGCCACTTGAGAATCATGAAATTTGAGACAGTGTAGAATTATGCAAAACAATGGTACCCAGATCCTATAAGCAGGGGAATCACATGAGTCTCTTCATGTAGCATCTTTAAAACAGAACCCGCCCAAAGGAGGTGCTCAATCAGCATTAGCTGTTACTTTAGTGTTGTTTATGTAATGAATGCTGTTTGCATTGTTTATGTTGACTAGTCTTGTTTATGTTGAATGACCTGGCTTTTAACACTTGGAAGTGTGTAATCCAGGGAGGATGAGTTTCATTCTGCTCTCCAGTCTCTATGATCTCAACAAACTCTAAAACAAGAATCCTTGGGAAATATAATTAGGTAGAAATAATAAATCAACATACTGATGATCTGAGCCAACCCAACCTTATATGGATTATCTGTCACCGAGTCCTTTCAATCTCTGCAGCAATATGGACACACGAAGTCCAAGATAGACTGGTATTGAGGCAGGGACTATGGCTACGTATGCTGTGTCTGTTCATTGCTGAGAAAACAGGCTATCTTATACACTGGTCTTTTTAAGGACATTAGCACTGGGCTGGAGTATTACAAGTCAAGGTAACTGAAGGTCATAACTTATATCAACCCCCAAAGAGCAAAGGCCCAGGTGATTAATCACTGTTGCTACACAGGGCAGTTACATTCTGTCTTGTTCTTAGTATTAGAAATTCATCAGACTATGACTAACAGTTACTGATTTTATAATTTTTAACTGAGCACTTTCCACAGTATTAGCTATATGTTAGTTGCTAGTCATGTTGGGGGAAATCTAGATAGAGCGGTTCCCCCATCAAACCACTTATAACCTTGTTGAAGAATCCGTGTTTGAGAGACTGACCTGATACTTCTTTCAGTAATGTAAATTAAAATATAATTGTCTATGGGCCAAAGAACACACATCGACTTGTGTTTTTTTTAACATTTTTTGTTGGCAGAAATGTAATTATTATTTTTTTTATTTTTTTTATGTTTATTCATTTTTGAAAGACAGAGAGCACAAGCAGGGGTGGGACAGAGAGGGGGACACAGAATCTGAAGCAGGCTCCAGACTCTGAGCTGTCAGCACAGAGCCCAACGCGGGGCTCGAACTCACGAACTACAAGATCATGACCTGAGCCGAAGTCGGATGTTCAACCGACTGAGCCACCCAGGCGCCCCAGAAATTTAATTCTTTAAGAATATAGCATCAAAGGTTTTGAATTTAGGCAATTGGTAGAATGATTGAATAAAGACCCACTTTTTTTTTTAAGTACATAGAATCACTAGATGAAATATTTTTAAAATCTTAAATATATAAGCAAGCTTGGAAGAAAATTGGTTTCAAAAATAAACAGGGCATCTCACAGTCACAGCAGTAAATGTGCAATATAGAGTACATGGGACTCAAGGGGCATCTCAATCTCAAATAGGCTCACACAGCTATTGTTGTTTGTGTATGCATTCAATTTTAAGGTGCCTCTTTCAGGTTTTATAGCTTAATTTTATTTTGAGATTATGTAAAACATTTTTACAGTTCAAAAGTCAAAATTATTTAAAAAGCTATGTTCAGGGAAGACACCTCCTCCTATAACCACCCTACTTCAACAGTCAACTACTTTCAACCATTTCACCAGTCTCTGGTTTATACTCACACCTGTATGTACACACACATACACACACACACTTATGTGTCACCCCATATATGCATATCTTAAGGCAGTATCTGTTCTATTTTCTGGAGTGTTTTCTCATGGCTTGCTGTTGAGATTTCTCAAAGACCTGTTTAATGTCTGTGAAGAGAATCCTATATTTTTTTTCTTGGTACATCTGTTGACATGGTAGATTATACATTTCCTAATACTGAAATATTTTTGAAAGATTAGGAAAAAAATCTTATCATTATATATTATTTTAATGTGCTGTTAGATTCTGCTTTCTAAGAAATTATTTAATATGTCACATTGATATTCATAAGTATGTTTGGTCTCTGGTTTCCTTTTTCTTTCTTTTTTTTTTTAATTTTTCTTCTGGTTTAGACTTCAAAACAAACTTACTTTACCTTAAATGTTAAAGTATTTAAAATGAGAATTTTCTTTCTTTTCCTATCTTCTGGAGCTATCTTAAATTATACTGGATTACCCATTTTTAGAAAGTTTGTTAAAATTGCTCTGTAAATCCATCTAGACTTGGTGCATTTTTATGGAGGTAGAATTCTGTGATAACTTTATCTCTTTCTTTAATAGACCTTTTCCCTAGAATATTATCAATTTCATGTAGGCTTACAAACATATTTGCATGCAATTTTATTTTACCTGAAATCTCTCATTTTTTACACTTTATTTAGTATACATTTTATATTTATATTTATTGAATTTCTTTGTGTTCTCTGTTCCTTATTCTTTCTTTTGGATATGTTTTATATTTAAGAAAGTTTTAGAGCTTTTCTAGTAGTAAATTTTTAATAATATATTTTATAATGTGTTATGTCTCTGTTACCTTCCCTAGACTTCTATAATGTGGTTTTACCATTTTAAATAAACTCTCCCCTAACACCACCTATGACCTATACATCAACCAATGAGTTTCTTCTTGTATTTTATCTTTTCTCTTTGGCCACTCTGTTTTAGCCATGTTACTTTATGTTTCTCTGTCAGAATATTTAACAATTACATGCTGCTTTCCAACCCTGTCCCCACTTTTGCTTCAATCTTATATCTACCATCAAATATATTAAATTGTCACAAAAAGTCCTCAAACATTAATGAAGAATGAAACTAAAATAAAGACAATATTGAACA